ATTACTATTATTAATATTATTCATGATATTATATTTGTACAAAATAAAGCGAGGCGAACGGCGCGTGCGTCTTGTCCGAAAGAAAAAAGAAAAGGCCGATTGTGTCCAACCAGTCAATACCACATCGATTTTCTTCTATTTTTTTTCACACCCCACTTAATTTTTCTGCACATTATTTCAATTCCGAAAGTGTGGGATGGGAGATCGGCATCGAAGGGTAAGTACATATCGTAAACTGCCGATTTTATACACAAAAGGCTAAAAATTATACGAGCACGGCTCGCGTGTTGATCAGACACTCTAATGCATGTACGCACTAATGTAAAAATTTGGCGCAAACACCAAAGCCAACAGTCGAGACCCCAGCACGGCTTTTACAGAAACGAGAGAACGGAAAAAAGCCAAGATCGGTATAGGGACGGCAAAAAAAGGGAGACACATTTGGCATAGTCTCGCATCCAGGTGAAAGCGGCTCTCTTGTACGCACGTACGTCCTCTATATTACCAACAACGTGAAATCGATCATCTCCCTCCACGCTTTGTGTCTGGGGTGGAGCCATACCGATCTCTCCGCGGACAACATCTGGATCTCTCGCGCATTCACGGAGGGACCAGTGACGCACGTGTCTGGCTTTCTTTCACCTCCATACGGCCATGGTATATATACATATCTCTCTCTCTCTCTCTCTCTTGGAGTATTGCATTAATTGCAAATTACGCTCGAGAGATCGGTATGGGGAGGGTGATGTACGCTCGCGTATTAATGAATTCCCGCGATAATCGGCCTGGCACCGATCGCCGTTTCGCTTCTCGCTTTTCGAGGCACTTGTGAGAACGAGAAAAAAAACCATCACCTGTCGTGGACACGAAAATATTTTAGGGAAGAGGGAAGGAAAGGCTGGTTGACGCGATATTCTATCGATCCTTGGGTAACCGGAGTTTTCGTGTTCCGGCGATCCACTGATCCACATCAACATTCCGTTTGGCGCACAAACATGAAAGTGCCGGCGGCTGCGGTGTTTTGAATATCCATGCGTGGACACAGTTGCTACGTAGTGGTGTACATACAAGGAGCTACGAGAGCGAGATGGGGTTCCGATTTTTATGAATTTATAATACCGATCGTGCACTCGATATTCGAGCAAATGCGCATTTTTTTTTTTTTTTTTTCATTACCCTTTTTATAACATAAATTTATTAGATGCAAAAGCTAGTGCTACGAGTTCGGATTATTGAACGTTATTTTTTGTCGTTATTTCTTATGTCATTGTAATCTCATATTAAACAATGTTAAATGAAGTTCTTACCGTTTATATTCTATAACATTTTAATTTAAAAGTCACAAGTGTATATTACTTTCAATGACTTCGTTTAAACTAAAAAAATGGTGGGATAATAGAGACATATTATTATTCAACATAGTAGTTAAAACTTTCGAAGCAGAATTACATTTGTCTACATTCAAAAGTGATTTGTTTTTTACTAATATAAAAAATTGAAAGGTGTGGCAGAAAGCTAATGGCTCCACTACAAGAGATAAACACACGCATGTACACATTTACACGAGTAAAAAATATTTTGAGCTATGAACAACAAGGTCATAATACACAAAGACTCTCCGTAAATTTTTTTGACATTCAGTTAACTCAGTTCCTCGTACTACAGAAGTCAAGAATAATTTTTTTTCGTGTAATTTTTTTTTTCAAAATAAAATGAATATTGTTTGCTTTAAGTATTAATTTTTGATATTGTACTGGATTTATTAAAAAATCAATGAGGATATAATAGTAGTTTTCCTACGAGTTTGAAAAGTCTCTGTTTGCGAACCGAGAGGTTTGCGGCCCGAGCCGAAGGCGAGGGACGTTAACGAGGTTCGTAAAGGAGACTTTTCGAACGAGTTCCGGAAAACTGCTTTTTCGCCCGAGGAAGTAACAGCCTCCCAAAATCACCCGAGGGCGGAAAAGATTTTTTCCTTACACTTCTGAAAGTATACCAATTTTCAATCTCCTTTTGTGAAACGGTATTTAAAAAATTTACCTATTAGTTCGACTTACGTGTTCCGACACTGACAGCAAATCATACAGAAAATCAATATAAAATTAAAATTAATATTATATGAAGCAAGTAGTTCGCTTACATTATGTATTAACCAAGCATTAGCGCAAGCACCTAAAAAGTGTTAAGGAATATGCTGATAGCCCCGCTATCACGAAATAAACGTATGCATGTACATATCCACACGAGTAGACATTAAGTATTTTAAGCTATCAATACTAAGATAGTGTACGAAAACTCACAGTCAACTTCTATGAGGTTTAGTTCAGTCAGTTTCTCATACTCCTAAAGTCAAGAGTATTTTTTTTTTTTTTGTATAAATGAAAGTTTAAGAAGTTTTCATTTTTTAATGATAAAATATTGTTTGCTTTCTTTAAGTATTACTTTTTGATATTGTACTGGATGTATTAAAAAATCGACTATTGAGGATATAAAGATATATATAGGCTGACAAAAAAACTAAACAGTACTAACAACTACGTGGATATTTTGTGTCTTCTTCGAGGCTGTATCAAGATGATGATTCTAGGAGGAATTTTAACATTACTTCTAGTAGTACAAGGTAACATCTTGTTCCATAGTTCATTTTTCAAATGAAAATGTCAAAGTGTTTTACTTCTTGATTATCATCACGAGCCATTAGATAAGTATGCTTATTTACAAGTATTTAAGAATCACATTTAAAAAAAATAGATACTACGGCTTTAGAAATAGCTGGACAAACACAATTTCCATATCAAATCACCGTCCGGCCCCGAGAAAAGTTCTCAATAAAATTTCCTTGTGGTGGTGTACTGATTCGTGGAAACTATGCTCTAATCAGTGCTGCCTGCAGATTAGCCCATTTGGATAACTACGTTGTCGCATATAATTTCGTAAATACTGCTAACGAAAGGGACAGATTTTTCATTGGTATTAAAAAAGTTATTTCACCAGCGTAAGTAACCAACCTACATCCATATGAGAATTTAAGAGAAGCCGTGACTTGAAATGATATAAAATTTTTTTAGAAATATGAGTCCTGGGTATAACATAGCTCTATTGCAGTTGGATGCATACTTATTACTTAAGAGTTTTGTACTTCTACCCAAACAAGGTGCTCAACTAGACAAAAATAAGAATGGTATGGTTATTTTATGGGATTATTATTATAACTGGTGGTATTTAGAATATTACCACAAATTGTATTATTACAAGGCAAAATATTCGAGTCAAGATTTTTACGTACGAGCCCTGCAGACTCAAAATTCTTTATCACTGATTTATGTCCAAAATGATGAAATAAGTGATCCTCCGGTAAATATCGAAATGAATCGATTTTTTGTTTTATTTGTTTCTGTTTATCTTGGATACAAATATTTCGTAAAAATATTTATGTTTAACAGAATTCTCCTGGTGCCATTTTGATTCAATATTAC